ATATTTATTGGTCTAACCTCTAACAATCTGCCGATGCCAAGATAAATATACCGCAGCGAATAACTGAAGTAGTAGCGGATGAATACGCGAAGCTGCCACCGAAGAAATAACGCGAGAAGTCGTGATCACAACGGACGAGGTGGAGGATAGCTCCAGACGGACGATAGATGCCACTCGGACCTCGCTGCCTCCAGCTCCTTGCTTATGTAGGTTACAGGCTTGACGCCTTATCGCGCCATCTCTTCCCCCGCGACAGCTTGAGAGCATTCCAATCTCCTGCAGTAAGCATTATTACCGTAATCTCTGAGAATGTAACTAAGTAAACATCTGAAATATTTCACTTCTATTGATCGTTTATGATAAAAATGATTTACCTTGCGTAACTTACCATAAATCAGGGACGACGCTCGTCGTCACTCCCCCCACGCGGTTTTTCGGGGTGTTCCTCGAATGGCTGCCCATCGTACGCGTGTTGTCGTCGCATCTCATGAGCCCGCAACTGTTCTTCGTGTTCCTGACGCTCTCGACGTCGCCTGTGCTTGCGTTCCAGTTCTGCGAATGCTCCCTCGAATTCTTCTTTTGCCCTTCTGAGTGCTAGACTTGCTTCTTCCTTGCGATTGGGGATGTTGCAGAGGGCCGTATGGTGTTCGACGCCGTGTCGCATGTAGTCAAACGGTGTTCCTCGAACGCGTTCACAATAATAGCAAGATTTTTGCGCACGCGGACACTCAGCTTCCCAGTTGCACATTTCCAGACACATTCTGCACCATCCTTCGTTCAAAATTATGTCGTATCTTTCGTCGCCGTCGATAAAGTTAGGGCAAGAGTCAGAGAAATGTTCGCCTTTGGCTCGGCAAAACGCGCACATCATCCCCGGATGGATCCCTGGTGATCTGTGCTCCTTCTTGCGGTATGGGAAATTTCGGTAAGCTTCTTGAACGCGATTCATTTCATCTTCAAGCAGACGACATCGTAGCCCCCATTCTTCAATGCCTTCTTCATCAGGTTCAGGTGATCTTCTCTGCTCAAGTGGGAAGTCCAGCAGATTTTCGTCATCATTCAGTTGTTCCTCTTGAATTTCCATATTTTCTTCATCCGACTCCTCTTCCATCAGGGGTGGTACTTCATCGTTTTCAGCGACCTCTCGTCTCATCTGATCGAAGTATTCGTCGTCTGTGGGTTCCACATTTTCTGGTTTCGGGTGAGACTCGTTTGGGTTAGGTCGTGCTCCCTCATTTTTCAGACGCGTTATTTCTGCCGACTGGTCATTTAACTGGCTCTGGAGCTCAAGAATTTTTTCGTCGAATTTCTTCTTGTCCTCCAAGGTTAAAGTCTCGAAGGCCTGTCTGAATAACGCGTTTATATGCTCTACGTGGGCGGAGCAGGGTCCGGTTCTGAAATCATTTTCAGCACGTTGGAAGAATGTTTTCACTTCCTCTATCAGAGCCGTCAGCTGTCTCGTCTGGCTATCTATTATGCGTAAGCACTCATAGATCTCCTTTTCGATGATTCTTCCGGAGCTCTTATCGGCCATATTCTTGTAGAACAGTTTCGTGAAGGTGGATCTCACTCCGATGTGTGATATCTCCTGCTTCGTTCTTTCCATCTTGTGCCACAACTGCGAGAGCGTGATGATCTTAGCTGCTGGGGTAGAAAGAAGAAAGGTCTGATCCGATCGTATGTAGTTCCACTCTTGTTTGTGACTCGAAGCCACCTTTATTTCCAGAGTAAGTTGCTCCGACAGGTCATTCAGGTCTTGTTGGACGGCTGTCCAGTTCTCGTGCGGCTCGATCATCATACGCGAGATGAACTCCGTGTCGGTTAACTCGTTGATGGACATGCTAAAATACGCGAATTTGACCCTTTGAGTCTCGCTGGACGTACAGATATAGAGATAAACATAACCACTATTTTGTTTCCAGGTACATTTTTTATCTACTCGAGAGTGACTACGTCTACGCGATCGGGTCAGGCTCCTACTAAAGTGTTTTTCGATGCCTTGTGGCAGCTTTAAATACGCGAAATGGTAAGCTGCAGCATGCTCGAATACTGGCACGAAAAAACCTCAGAAACAAGCGCAGTAGGAACCCAAGGAATTGACCTCCGCAAGTGAGGAGTAAAATATAGGTTGCTGCTAGTATTACTCCCACTGCTACTACAGCTAAAATCACAGTCTTGTACCATTGTAGAAACACATCTGCGATATGGGGGAAATCCGGCCACTGAATCTCGTTGGTTTCCAGGGTATTCCCCTTGATCCATGAGACCATGAGCGTCTGCGCAGAGTGCGTGAATTTCAGAACTCCCCCAATTCTAAATGTAGATTCCACGCGTCCACAAGATACAGTACACGTGAGTCCTATACGCGCCTTTGCGAAACTGAAATGTAGGATCGACGGGACTCCGTGGCTATCGCATTGAACGGTGAAAGTCGACCCTTCACAGCGAATCTCTGCCTGGGTGGGTTTAGAGGATTTGCAAACGATGCTTGCCTCTGCCCCTTTTGCACATTTATAACACCCCGTTAAAGGCGCGTTAGAAACGACACAAATGTCGTCTTTAACGATGACTTCTGTTTCAACCTGGTCCTGTATAGTCAAGATTATTTCTGACGTCGTTCTTGTGGTCATAGTAGCTCGGATCCCTCCTTGTGGGTCTTTTTTGAATGACACCGAAGGGGTAATTACTGGAAGCCGGTGTTGGAGATTACTGAACCATGTATCTAGATCGATGTTTTCGCACTTACAATTGGCTTTCGTTTCTGCCGAATAGCACGCACAGTTATCTCTGAATTCGCAGTCTAAGTTTAAAGCTGCACTTGAGTTGTCGCACAGCAATGCCGGAGCTAAACGCGAATCCCACAGGGCAATGTTTTGCCCATCCGTAATGAACGGTGTGTTCAACAACGGTGTGGGCGGTACATTGATGGAACTAAGAGTCAAGGAGAATGCACTCCGTTTAACTGGCACGTTTGGTAGCATCTGAATGGTCCATTTTCGTCTCTCGTTATTCTTGTAATCGAAGGCTGCTACCTCTACCTTTGCTGCTGCTTTCCATTGTGTACAATGGAAGACTTCAAAAACGCGATTAGAGATGGGAACAGCATAGACGCGATAGAAGAGACAGCCCGATCCCGGCCAAAAACAATCGCAACCTGGTCCCCCACAAGATGCCACACAGTAAGTAGCTCCTGGGTAAGGATTTCCGGTTGCCAGCTCTTTGATGAGACTAGAACCGTTCACGTCTGCGCATTTACTACCTATGCACGATCCCATGTGCGCGCACCTTTTGCTGCTGATTACCCTGTATTCGGTATCCCTCGTAAAGTAATCCGTTTCCTGCTCGCAAAAAAGGGTTAGAGACTTCCAAAGAACGCGAATCTCATACACCATCGTAGAGTTGCTGTTTAAGCGCAAGCAAGCCTCTTTTTTAAAGGAATTTATTTTCAGTATTTCCGACATCTGTATCTTACATGTGCGCTGTCCCTTAGACGCGTCGCATACCGTGCTCTGATGGGCAAAGATATCAATTTGTTGGCATCCCTGTACTGTAGATGTAATAATTGCCAGGGTCATGACTATTGCTAATAACTCGACCAAATCAAGGGCCTTCTTAGTACGCGTTTTGGATTTCCTGTTACGAATTGTAGTTCCGATCCAAGAAATCGCGTAGTAAATGGCCTTTGCCGCAACGCGTACTGGTTTCCCTATAACAACCGGCACGTACAAGAAAACATAGCACCCTGTAATGAGTAGATAGAAGAGAAGAGCTGTCGCTAATATGGCGCCCATGGGCCAGCACTCTGGGTTGAACAGTAGCGCTGAGCACAGCGTGCAGTCTATATGATCACAAAAGGGTGCTTTTGGGCAAGTTGTTTCAATCGTTTGGAGCGTGCCGTTTTCAAGCAGCTTCCATTGAACATCGTGGTCATGCAGTACTATATGCGCTGGAAACCGCACGATTTCAGAAGTATGTGGAGAGTCAATGTGTTTGCAATAACCCTCAGCACATATCTGATATGGCGTTTGCTCCGATGCTATGAGTTCAACCCCGCCTTGTATGCATCTCACGCGTTTTCCTGTTTTGTCCCAGATTTCACTCGCAAGCGTGAAGTCAAAACCCATAGTCGTCAACGCGCATATGACCGTTACGAAAAGGCTCATTGTTGTCATTTTAGACGTAGTTTGGTCGGCGTAAGTCACCTTTTTACGAGGCCTGAGATTATAGTGATGGTTAAGTCTACCTGCAGTTCGTTCTTCCGTCGATGTAATTTCTTCTTCAGCTGCCCTTTCGTTTGATGTTGACGGAGTCAAAGATCCTTGTTTCCTTTCTGAAAGGTCATTTTCGTCATCCAATTCTAGTGGTATCAGCAGGTTCAAAGGTCTTCTAATTTTTCTATGTGAAGGTAGTAATATTACAGCTTCGCGGATTACTCCTTCCTTATTGGCAATTAAGTCGTGTACGCGTCCTAACTTCCATGAGTGTCGAGGTTGTAGCGCATCCGAGATAAGTACCACATGACCCTTTTGAGGTTCTATACGCGACCCCCGCTTATGACCTACCTCTAGCTGATGTTTTTCGCGCAAAGATGTTAGGTATTGCGACTGCCACATTTGCCAAAACTTCTCCGTCATTTTGCAGGAACTCTCCAGCGCTTTAATCACCTGCGCCTTTGTTTGTAAGGTGATGCGTTCTGCCGCGCTGAGGTATTGTGTGTCCTCATCTGGTTCGAGTTCTCCCTGAATGGGTGGGGGTACTTCGAACTCGTTCTGAAGGAAATCGATAGGCCTAAGCACGCGATCTCCGATCGAGTCTGACTCAACATAGAGTAGAGGACGGGTATTCAACATTCCCTCGATTTCAATAAGCAGCGTATCTAGTTCCTCACGCGAAGGCGTACTTTTACCCAAAACCTTGTGCATTGCTATTTTGACTGACTGAATCAACCGTTCATATACTCCTCCTTGCCATGGAGCAAAGGGGGTAATATAGTTCCAATTGATATGTCGCTTGCTGATCTCCCCTGCCACCTCTGGGTCAGATTTCATCCCCTGGAAACATTCTGATAAAATAACATCTCCTAACGCGAAAGATGGGGCGTTATCACTCGTGATTGTAAGCGGTATACCTCTCCTCGCAAAAAAGCGTCGTAGCATTTGTAGAAACGCCAGTGTAGAGTTATCCGCTACTACATCGAGATGGATTAGTCTAGTGACTAAACACGTTATTATGGCCCCGTAACATTTTGTGGTCCTTTCTTCGTTCTTCACGGAAAGGGGACCAAAATAATCTAATCCAATATGGGCAAATGGCCGTGATCTTGTTACTCTACGCGCAGGTAAATGTTCCTGTTCTGGATACCTGTAGGGAAGATTGTTAAATTTTTGACAAGCAATGCAGTGGCGCACAACTTTTGTGACTTCTGCGCGCAGTTTGGGGATCCAGTAATTTTCCCTTACTTTGGCCATGGTGTGGCTAGTGCTTAGATGGAGATAGTTGTGACAGTCCTTGATGATTAGTTGGGATAGCCATGTCTTCTGAAGGACAAGCATAGGGTATTTTGACGACTCAGTCAACGCGCTTTTCCCCAGTCTACCTCTACAACGCGAGATTCCGAATTCGTCCTGAAAGACCTTCAGGTGTCGGAGAGACTTCAAAACCGTCGGATTCAAATGGGACAACTGGTGCTGTTTTACTAGCATCATCAAGGCTATTTCCATTTCTCTTCCGTTAGGAGTCTTTTCTTCGCCTACTTCATAGGATCTGAGTAGAAGAGAGAGTTGACTAGTAAGCTGTCAATTTCATTTTCAGAAGGGAGTTTCGTATAAAGCGAAGAGTGTAAGCTACCACGCGCTGAACCGTTGACAAGTTTGAACTCCGGATTGTCTCGAAGCTCTTCGGGCTATCTGCCGTTGTCTGAGAGAACATCGTCTTCGTGAGCGCGTTTCCGTTCATTTCCTCTGGCCCACTTTCTTGTACCTTGTCCTTTACTTTCGCTGGCCTATACGCGTTTATCCAGTCTTCTACAGGGGTAGTCAAAAAGAGTGGGCCTGTCCACCAGAAGTGGTCACGTAGTTGTGATTTATCTACTCCCCTGGTAGCACAGTCGGCTGGGTTATCTTGGGAAGAGATGTATCCCAGTTGTACTTCGTATCCGTTTCCTTCTAGGTGCTCCACGATTTTATGGATTTCGGATACGCGGTTCTTGATGAATGGCCCAGCATCATGTCGCAGTTCCCCTGTTACCCAGTTTAGTACTATTTCGGAATCAGTTAGCACCAGGATCTTGCTAATCGTGACCATCGATGAAACTTGAGTCAGCGCTGAAGTGGTAAGTCTCATCGCTAATGTCATTGCGTTGAGCTCCATTTTCGGAATTGTTATTTTGGACTTCAAACTGGGTAGCTTCCCCTTTGCCATCAGCAGGTGTCCCGACTGTCGCGCACACATATACGTACATGCTGCAAAGGCATCTCTGCTGGCGTCTGCACAAGTGACTAATGAGACATCTGCTTTCCTTGGAACTATGAAACGCGGTAAAGATTTCTCAAATCCTTGGAAATCCTTCAGAATGGACCTCCATTCTATTTTCTTTTGATCTGAAAGGGGTGTATCCCATTCTACATTTTCTTTCCAGAGCGACTGCAGATATATTTTTGCTTTATGCATCAGGGGTAGAACCCATCCCATTGGGTCGTAAACCGACGCGACTGAACTCGCCACCATACGCTTTGTCAGGTTTGTTGTTTCTGCGACCCTACAAACAATTTCTAGTTGGTCATCTGTCACATTCCACCTTATGCCCAAAACTTTCGGTCGAACTTCGTTCGATCGGTCTTGTTCCCGCATACCTTCCAACACGTGAGTGCTGTTGGACGCGAACTCTCTAAGATTCATATGTAACTCGTTGAAAATTTCCTTTGTCGTCTCATATACGCGCTGCGCTTCCTGCACCGTATTTGAAGTGAGAAGAAGATTATCCACATAGAGATTCTCCTTTATCTCCGTTACTAAGCTCCCATCCTTTGGACATTGATCTAAATGATAATGGGTGGTTGCTGCTAATAGGAATGGAGAGCAGAGTAGTCCGAATGTTACTCGTGTAAATCGAAATACGCGCAGGTTACTCGCACTCGGGGGACTTTTGTGATTCCTCAACCACAGGCAACGAGTTGCGTCCCTATCTATCTCATGAAGGCGAACTTGCAAAAATGCCTTTTCCACATCGGAGATCAGTGCTACGCGACCTACTCGAAATCGAAGAAGAAGACCGTACAGCTTAGGGAGGATTACTGGTCCTCTATGCAAGGCATCATTCAGAGAAGGAGAGTCCTTAAAGTGCGCCGATGCGTCGAAAACAACGCGAATTTTGGTTGTAGACTTCTGCGGAGTCAAAACAGCCTGGTGTGGTAGGTAATGAACTCTCCCTTTCACTGGAGTCTTTTCGCTGTGGACTTCTTCCAGTATTCCTAAGCGCAACTGCTCTTGGAAGATGTCGTTGTATTTTTCTAGAAGCGCCTCGTCTTTTTGGAGGGAATTCCACACGCTTATCAGTCTTTTCCACGCGATTGCGCGGTTGTCTGGTAAGGGGGAAGTAGTATCCTTCCAAGGTAACCGAACGTAATATCCATCGTCTTTCTTTTCAATTGTATCTCTGAAATGCTTCATCACTGCTTCGTCTATGAGGGATTGTACCTCCTTTTCCGACGAAGTGAATTCCTCTGCACCTTCTTTTTCTAAAGTCCAGTATTGCTCCCAAAGCGCCTTTTCGTCCTCGACTTCTGCAGACTTCTCTAATGAAAGCATATGGACTTTAGACTCGAGAGACCAACAGTTATTCCACTCATGCTCCTCGTCGTCTTTCCTCAATACCTGGTTCATACAACGCGCATTATTCATTTTCCCGGTCAGCAAGTGTCCGATACGCGTGGACAATAGGTACAGTCCGGATGGGAGACGCACGTGGGCTTGGTCCTGCCGAATGAGGGGCCAAATTTGGTCGCACCCGAGCAGAACTTGAGGTTTAGTAACCTCACGGTCTTTTAGAAGGTTGATTGGAATTTGCATCGATTTCAAAAATTGGGTGTCTTCATCTATCAATGGTGGAGTCCTCAAGGAACTGGTCAATACATCGTGGGTCAACAGTTCTAACTCGTATGGATCTCCATTTTCATCCCATATCTCCAAAGATACTTTCCTACTCATACACTCCTGCACTTTATTAGAACCAAAGGTACGAACGCGTAGCGTGGTAGTACCCAATGTTGGTAAATCCAAATCGTTTGCTAAACTGCTGTCGATAAAGGAGCATTCCGCTCCCGAGTCCAGCAGTACTGCTATCTTTTTCAACTTACGCGTCGTGTGGTCCAATATAGTTAATTCTCCAATGGGAAGGAAAGTATCGCGCCTCTCCACAATCTCCTTTACCGAGTATTGCTGGGTTGCTTGGGATTCGTGGCTTACGTTACGCGCGTTGGTTGGTCTCCTATCTTGATCACGCTGGGGAGCCGCCCCAGAAGAAGCAGCTGATTTGGAAGGTGAAAACTTCTTCTCCTTTGTTTTGAACGAGGGAGGCCTCGTATCTTGAGAAGGAGCACTATCTCTTGTCCCTGAAGCGGATTTGAAACAGCAAGACGTATGGTGTCTTCCCTGACATGTGAAACACGCGCTTTTCTTACATGCCGAAGTCATGTGCTGAGGAGACGCGCAAATAAAACACAGTTTGTGGTCCCTCAGATACTTGGATCTCTCTTTAGGTGTTCCAAATTTTGTACACGACGTTGCTTTGTGGTCGCCGCCACAGTACATGCACTGGAAATTAACGCGTTCTGCTTCCTTCCTAGGGTATTTATCTCTTCGCGCCAATGTCCCGTCATCACCTGACCCCTTAGATGTGTGAAGCGCAATTTTTTCCTCCATGGAAACTATCTTATCCAAACACATTAGGAGATCATCCATTCGAAAGGATCCCTCCATGGAATACTTCCTTTCGAGGACTCTCCTTTGGACGCGCTCGGGGAACTTAGCTAACACTTGTTTTAACAACCATTGACTATCTACTTGTTCCCCTTTATCTCTAAGTTGGGACATTATAATTTGAAGCTGTTCCAATAATACGCGTTGATCCTTAAGCGAAGCAGACCGCAAAGTCACCCTTTCCAAACGTGCGAGCAGCTGGCGAACTAAATCTTCCTTGTCTCCGTATTTCTCTTGAAGAAACTGCACTGCTTTTGCATAGTTTTCTTCGGTTATTTGGAATTTTCGCACGGCATTATATGCCTCCCCTTTCAACGCGCTCACAAGATGATTGAATTTGAAGAGCGCTGGTATTGGTTGGTCGTGTACGTTGGCTTTGAAAAGGACCCAGAAATTATCCCAATCCCAAATATTGCCTGTAAATGTTGGTATGGGCAATGCGGGTACGATGGGCTTGACTTCTGTGGTACTCGCGGTATTTGACGCGATCTCTACGCGTGGAGTGGCGTATTGATCCCTCCGAGGCGTTATCAAAGACCGTAATCTACCTTGAAGAATTACCGTGTAGTCCAGAGTCGATCCTAAGACTACCTCTATCTTGTCTGAGTAAACCTCGAAATCGTCCTTTTCAGATTTTTCTATCTCGCCTATATTATCTACAGCATAAGCGTATTCTTGCCATAATCGCTCTATCTTAGACGTGCAGGCTTCTAACGCGCCTAGTGCTTCATGCAAACGCCGACGATAGTCTTCCTCCGACCCTCCTTCCCTCAACTCCTCTAAATTTGGCGCGATCTCAAGTTGTTCGTCTTTGAACCGCGCAAGTACTGTCTCTAGCTTGTTACAATGCCGAGTCAATACGCGTTTGTGCGAGGAGAGTTGAGCGGCCATTAACGCGTCTCGGGATGATTCACCGATCGAACAACGGCACGCGAAATGTCACCGGTAGGAAGGTCAATAGCACTCTACTGATTAAAAGCTTTGAACCCTCCTAGCAAATTTGAAGGGTTAATAGAAGCAAAGCTTGTTTAGAGGAATTAATTAAAAGGAGTAAGCAGATTTGCTAGTAACCGACCTGAACTGTTGTGGTTTCCAACTTGTTCCACACGTTCAATTCGCTCGATTCTCTTCGACCCGTTACCACTTGGCCGATGCACCAATAAGTTGTGGCGATTTTCAACGCGAATATACTCGTTCTTCTTACCTATAGATGCCACGCGGAATTTTTAGCTACTCGTAGAATCGCCTCCAACTTGAATAAATATAATATTTATTGGTCTAACCTCTAACAATCTGCCGATGCCAAGATATATATACCGCAGCGAATAACTGAAGTAGTAGCGGATGAATACGCGAAGCTGCCACCGAAGAGAATAACGCGAGAAGTCGTGATCACAACGGACGAGATGGAGGATAGCTCCAGACGGACGATAGATGCCACTCGGACCTCGCTGCCTCCAGCTCCTTGCTTATGTAGGTTACAGGCTTGACGCCTTATCGCGCCATCTCTTCCCCCGCGACAGCTTGAGAGCATTCCAATCTCCTGCAGTAAGCATTATTACCGTAATCTCTGAGAATGTAACTAAGTAAACATCTGAAATATTTCACTTCTATTGATCGTTTATGATAAAAATGATTTACCTTGCGTAACTTACCATAAATCAGGGACGACGCTCGTCGTCACTCCCCCCACGCGGTTTTTCGGGGTGTTCCTCGAATGGCTGCCCATCGTACGCGTGTTGTCGTCGCATCTCATGAGCCTCGCAACTGTTCTTCGTGTTCCATGACGCTCTCGCCGTCTTCTGTGTCTGCGTTCCAATTCAACAAACGCCATCTCGAGTTCATCTTTTGCTCTCTTGAGTGCTACGCTTGCTTCTTCTTTCCGATTAGGAATGTTACAGAGAGCCGT